TATTATCGCTATTGTTACTTTACTAATTACTACTACTACTGCTACTAATGCTGCTGCTACTGCTACTGCTACTACTGTTACTGTTACTGTTACTGTTATTGCTACTGCTACGTGTTATTTATTGCTACAGTAGTATTATTTCATACTTTGTAATGGTATTGCTACGTATATTATTTGTTTTCTTACATTAATCTGTATTATGTTAGATTAAATATCATCTTCATTTCCACTATCATTTTTCATTACATATCGTTTACAATACTACTCCGTTCTTAGCGTTCTTACCTCTACTACTGTTTATTGACACGATTACCACTAACCGTCGTCGCCGTCGGCCTCCTCTCCCTCCTCATTATCGTCATGCGGTGTAATATATGCTGCGTGAATTTTATAATGCCAATTTCACGTACTCACGGCTAATATATTAGGCTATACCTCTTATACGATCATAATTAATCGTCGTTGTCATTGTTTCCTTCATAATTGAACTGCATTACTCTTGCAAGTGCACATTCAGCGGCTGACGAGACGAAGATTAAGGACAGAGACGAGTAAGTAAGAAGTACAGCGTCCGATTGCGTGAAAGTAACTCGAAATATCGCAGACTCGAATATAATCTGTTTATCTATTTACCTATTATCGCCAATACGCGACGTAATTTTTTTCCTGAAGTGTATATTAAAGATATCAAACTGAATGCGGGCGCAAGGGTCTGTCTGATTACTCAGACGAGAGGTGTAGTAATCGTGAACAAAATTTACCATGAAATTGTAATATACTGGTACATTTAGGCGTAAAAAAAAAAGAAACAAAAAGTATGTACTGTTTTGTCGGTGACAAGTATTTTCAATTACTCATGATTAATGTAAACTTTGAAAATACTTTTCGTCTGTTAAAAAAAAAGCGATCACGCTCATATGTATCATGTGGCGCGCGCGCATGTGTGTGTGTGTGTGTGTGTGGGTGGGTGTGTGTGTGTGTGGCTATTTGGCTAGTACAAAAACGTTAAATGTGTGGCGGATATGATGAGGATAATCATTATTATTTCTGACAATATACACATGTATCGCTATATATATATATATATATATATATTTGTTTTTTTTTTTTTAATTTAGTGTTACGTTCTTGGACACTGCGGAGATACACTCACTACTGGGTTTTGTGCTGCGAAAGTAACGAAATAAATATTGCGGTAATCATTACCCATTGTAAATCTTTGAAATGCAACGTAACAAATGCGACAGACCCTCGTACCTAGCTCGAAATTTTAGAACACCTATCATTTTATCTATCTATAGTTAACGATCTAACTTATACGTCTATCTGCTAAAACTTGAAAATAAAATAAGTACTGATAAAAGATCATTCTTGACTTCTAATCAGTATTTAGTAGCAATTGATATATACTCGATTTATCTAATCGATTGTCTGATCTTTGAAAACCTAACGAATCGAATAACTGGAACTTTCTTTCTTTCTTTTCTTCTGGAAGTATTAAATTTCTTTTCTTTATATTCACGTACTGTTTTTTTTTCTTTTTACCATGCAAGCGCAAAATCACAAAATCACAAACGTTTTGAAAGTAATTGCTACCTTTTTATCTCGCGGCGCTAAAATCGCTGTATCGTAGGGTAGGGTAGGGTGCTGCGTTTATTATATGTACATACAGTGCAGCACAGTGACAGTGAGAGACACAAAGCAACCGACGGTGTGTAGGGTGTAGTTTTACCTACAATCTGTCACAACAAAAAAGATTGAAGATGTGCAAAGGTTTCTTGTAATGATCTATGTTTCGCGATTTAACCGAATTTCAATGATTATCAAACAAGTAATAAACTTTGGACAATTTGTTACCAGTGCGATGCTTTCGATTGTTGTTTGGTAACAACGAATTCCTTTTTTTTTCGTAGGATTATCGAAATTAATGGGGAATGAAATAAGTGCCCTGAAAGGGCTGGAAATCGAAGAGAAATCTGTGGAAGTGACAGATTTTTGGGTGCATTATACTGCCAGCGTGAATGGATATGGTGCTCAAAAGGTGTCCTTGTTTATCAGCGAACCGTCGTTGCATTATAGCGCTAATTTTGGAAATCCATCTCCTTTAGAGAAAGCTGCAAAGGTTAACTTTAGTTTATCGATCAGCTCGTATTAAAAATCATTTATATGCATATAATTGTATCAGTAATAAATGTATTTTTCAGAATCTTATGTTGTACAGACATCCTTGTATACTCAAGTATGTATCGTCGTGGTCCAAAGGCAGCAAATTTTTCCTTTCTACCGAACACGTTAAACCTCTGATTCAATCTATAGAAACACAAAATACCTTGCAAATATGCATGGGCTTGTATAGTATTTTACGTGCGTTGGTGTTTCTTCACGAAAAAGCATCCGCGTCCCATAATAACATTTGCGGAAGTTCCATTTACGTCACATCGGAAGGATGTTGGAAACTTGGCGGATTAGAGTGTCTATGTAAGTCTAAGGAATTAACGTCTGCTTATTTAAAGAAAATAAGAAGCTACAGGTACGAGAGAGCGATATCTCCAGATGAGGATACAACAGTTTTATCTACGAATTATTCTGCTATCGATGGGTACGCATTTGGAATATTGGCAGAGGATATACTGAAATTAAAGAATTCAGGTAAGTATTCACTGTAATGTTTATTTTATCTTGAGAAATTATAGAATATTGACAGACAGTTTATACTATCGTAGAAGATGTTCCAAGTCTCCTGGAGTTCCGACAGTTTTGCAAAGAGAATTTGCAAAACGTAGATCCATCCCAACGTAGCGAATTATCAAGCGTGCTTAGACATCCATTTTTTACTCATGACTTTATGCGAATTCATGCATTTCTAGAGGAACTGCCTTTAAAGAACAACCTAGAGAAAGAAATATTTTTTGGGTAAGCATTTTTGACAAAAACAAACAATACACTGTTTCACGTTGAAAGTAGTTGTACTTGTAAACATTAAAAATATGTAATTATTTTACAGAACCTTAATAATGCAATTAAGAACATTTCCTGAAAATATCGTCGCAGAACAGTTGGGTCGATTATTACTTTCTAGAATGGTTTTATTAGATGCAACAGCACAAGAAAAACTTTTACCATTCGTCTTAAAACCAAGAGGTAAAGAATTTTTAATAAAATTTTGCGTTTAAGATATATCGAAAGTATATGTTCTCTTACAGATGGGAAAGACAAAATGGACGATAATCTGTTTGCAGTTTCAACATTTAAAGTCTACTTAGTACCTAAACTATTGCAAATGTTTTGTATAAGGGATGTATCGATTCGATTAGTCCTGTTATTGCATTTTAATTCATTTGTGCACACGTTTCAAGTGGATGAATTAAAGTCTCAAGTACTTCCAGAACTACTTGTTGGAATTAAAGATACCAACGATCATCTCGTATCTGCAACATTGAAAGCATTATCCGATATAGTTCCAATCCTAGGTGCAGCCACTGTGATTGGTGGAAACAGAGGAAAATTATTTACGGACGGTCGACCAAACAAAGTAAAGGAAAGCGGGCAAAACAGTAGCGACACCTCGTCTTTTACAAATATCGTTGAATTTCCAGCACCTATGAGTACCAATCAAGAAACGGTTAACTTACCAGAAAGACCATCACCAGACGGAGGTGAGGATAAAAAGGAAATCATGTCTTCCATCACCGAGGAAGAATACACATGGTCTGATTGGGAGACGCAAGAACCCGCTACCGCAGACGTACATCACGTTTCTCGACCTCCGAACACGATTTGCGAATCTAACGGAATATCGACTGTTAATTCAACTCTAACTATCGAAACAGATTCAGTACTAAATATAGACAAAGCCAAGATAATTGACCCTAAATTTCCAAAGAAATCGATTATTTTATCCGATATTTCAGAGCTTGATATTAAGAATTCGAAGCTGTCCAGTTCTGTCAAGGAAGAGTATGACTTTTTCACAGACATGGAGCCCGTAATAAAAAAGACGCAAGTCTTGCACGTATCACAACCGCAGACACTACAAAAAAGTGTGTTCGACATAAAAGTATTAACCGAAGAGAACGATGGTTGGGATGATGATTTAAGCGATTGGGGAACAGAGGATGTTCAGGAATTGAAAATTTAAGAAGAGCTTACCGTTCTTGAACGTATGTGTTATACGGACTGTAAAGAAAACAATTACTTATCGCAGATGAATCTATGCATCTGAATTCTTATATAATTCGACATCAATTTTTATTGTTTAAAAAGATAAGAAAAAGTTCACGAAAGGCTAATATTAGAAATAAAATAATTGTTTCACAAAAATTGATAAAGATTTAATCGGTAAGGTAGAGATTGCGTAGATTTTCTCCAAGAACGATACCGCTTATTTGGTTTAATCTCCTCGAATTCAAAGTCTAGGTGAATTTTATGGCAGATTTTAGTAACAAACATTTTTTACACTCCGTACGTATAAAGAATAAGTTACATATTATATTACCAATCGCATAACTCCGTTCACCGAGACAAAAGGAACACTTGTCCCTAAATCATGATTCCAATGTATGTACAGTAAAGATGTATCGGTAATTTTCAAGCAAACAAATTTTTTTAACATATCGAATTTTGTAAAAAATAAACTGCGACATTTGATTAAATAAATAAATTATATTTAAATAATATAAGTTTATTCGTACGGAGTTCCTTGATATGAAACAATATTAAACTACTCGATAAAATCTGCAATAATGCTACTAACGATACTAATGAATTTTAATTTAAATAAAAAAGAATCCAAATTTCCCGCGGGAAATTGGTGTCGATATCTAGCAGTAAACAGTTCGAACGCTAGATGGCTATTTATTTGAGCGAAAATACCGGAAACCCAGAAGAGAAATTATGATAGTTTAAAAGTTTAAATAAAACGCCCAAATTTGCATTGAAATTATGTCTTACTTCTGCATTTCGTTATTGAGAGCGCTGATTAATAAACATGTTTGTAAACGTGAAATGCACTAGATTTACTTGGAATTTTTGTGTTCGTAAGATGTCTCAGTTACGAGTTACGTTGACGAGGACGTAACGAACGCAAAAGACAACTTCCTTTTTGTACGTGACACATTTGGGGATTCTGTTCGGTACGGGGTCTTTCCTGTAGTTTTCGTTAAAATGGTAAGCAAAGTTCGATTAATATTAATGTAATTCGATAAATAACGTTCTTTACTACATCCACAATTCATTTTACGTCGTTATTAACATTGGATGCTTGTAACTCAGTAAGATTCGAATATCGATGTTCAGTTGCAATTATGAATCTGTTCCAGTAACCATCCATTGTGTTTATAACGCCGAACAATGTGCTAGCATATTTTGTATAAAATAACGTTCGAAAGTAATTGATCTTGTGTTGAAAATTATTATAAAAACTTCGTTACGGTACATTTTAACTTTAACACGAGAATATTTGTATAAATTACCGGAACCTTTATGCCAGTTAACCTTAAAGTTAGCGCGTGGGACTCTGGAAAACTTTGGTCGCAGAATATTATGTGCTATTATTGCCTGATCTATATTTGTTATATTTTAATTGAATAAAAAAACAAACGAGTTTGCCCACTTATAGGTTAATTGCATAAAATTCTGATAATTTTATGATGTATTTCTATTGATAACTTTTGTATGATGACGATCTTAGCTCACTTTGATCAAAATATGAAAATATTTTACCCTATATCACTGAATTCGATTTATGAGAACATACAAAATCTAGAGACATTATTTTAGTATCAACATTTAGGTATTACATTACAGGGTTTCGTAAAAGTTGTTAAAAACAAGCAGTATTTCAAACGTTACCAAGTCAAATTCAAGAGGCGACGCGAAGGAAAGACCGATTATTATGCTCGTAAACGATTAACTATCCAGGATAAAAATAAATACAATACTCCCAAGTATAGACTAATAGTACGTCTATCAAACAAGGATATCACATGCCAGGTGATTATGCTTAATTTTGTGTTTCATATGTAAGCGTTCTAATTGAAAGCTGATAATATATGTCACTTTGTTAGGTTGCGTATTCAAGAATCGAGGGAGACAGAATAGTATGCGCTGCATATAGCCACGAACTTCCCAAGTACGGCGTCAAAGTTGGTCTTACAAATTATGCATCCGCATATTGCACTGGTCTTCTTCTGGCTCGCAGAGTAAGCATTTTTTATTTCATCTTTTTATTTAATTATGCATGTCCTATATAATGATGATACACTCAGCTCGCTTTGATGCATAACTGAAGAAAACACATTTGTTCCCTATTGTTTAAATCTGAAAAATAATTTTATAAGATTAAATACGACCAAATGGCTACAATTGCATACATTTAAAATAGTATTTTCTTACGTTACTTCTGTAGTTACTGTGCAAATTGGACTTAGAAAAGGTATATACTGGAACAACAGAAGTAAACGGAGATGAATACAACGTCGAAGAATCGGATCATGGACCTGGAGCATTCAGATGTTACCTGGATACCGGTCTTATGCGTACAACTACTGGTGCTAGAGTCTTTGGTGCCATGAAAGGTGCTGTTGACGGCGGTCTCAATATTCCGCATAGGTATTCGCTAATAAATTCTTTACGGAATATCCTTTTCAAAATGCTAGAAAGGTTCCGAATATCAAAGCGAATATCACATGATGATTTTTAGACACATGCGCGTCATCTGAGTTATAGCAAAGCGCGACTTTGTATTTGTGTTCTACAATACAAAGTATAACCTTTGCGCAGACATAAAAAGATTAGAAAGTGTCTCTGACAACGTATATTTAAACATATTAATTTTACAGAGCATAGGACAGTTCCTAATCTTTGTCTTTCCTTTCTTACGAGCAGTACCAAAAGGTTCCCTGGATACGACAGCGAATCGAAATCTTTTAATGCCGATGTCCATCGGCAGCACATTTTCGGACAACACGTTGCAAATTATATGAGAACGTTAGAGGAAGAGGACGACGAGGTTTTTAAGCAGCAGTTTTCGCAATACATTAAAAATGGCATCACTGCTGATAGCGTAAGTTTTAATGTCTTCCATTTATGTGAATTTCGTCCAACTAATAATTACTACCAGATTTCGCTATCTTAGTAGTGTCGCAGTTGGACTATAATAAATACATTGGTTAACAACAGATAAAAATGCTGAACTGCATCTTTTGCTTCGATCAATGTTACATTTCGACGAAATAATATCCTTGTATCACGGTATTCTCTATTTGAGAAATATATAATTATTTTTATTGGTAGATCGAGAGCATCTATAAAAATGCCCACGAAGCAATACGAAAGAACCCTCAACACACGAAGGTTGTAAGAGAAAAGGAACCCGTGAAAAAGCGGTGGAACCGCGCAAAACTTTCCTTGTCGGAAAGAAAGAACCGTATCGCTCAGAAGAAGGCTTCGTTCCTCAAGACATTGGAAGAAGTGGAAGCTTAACTTGGTCGTCAATCGTTTATTTTATATCGAGATCAGCATTTATCTGGAACACTAATCGTTACGAATATGTGTCAAACATATGTAGAAAAAAGCATGGTACGGAAATAAAAAAACGTTTGATGACAATTTTCTATTTCTTATTTTTTTTTAATGTTAGAATAACAATTAAATGTATAATAATTTACTTAAACATACCGACATGTATCGATAATAATAATAGTAATAATAATAATAATTATGTATGACATGAAAATATGTCCTAAACTAGTCACAAACATAATTACGAGTTTCTTCATTCTTACCATTTTATTTTACATGTGAAGTTCAATTCGCAGCGTAACGAATACTAATCGTTGATCGTAGTTAGCCATGTATTATTATATACACGCATAATATACATTTCGCATATTAATAATTTGGAATATTACTGCGAATAAATTATAACTTAATTCTAGTCGGATGAGACGTCAGAAATATTTGCGAACAGTTAAAAAATATTTTATCTTGCATTTCAACATAAACACGCAATGATTTAGATAACCCAATCACGTGGTTTCGCTAGCGAGATACCGTCTGGGAGACAGACGTATGAATTTGAGACAAATGATATTTAAAATTTTTAACGAAAAAGCGACAGTCTGTTACGAGAACCAGGTAATCTTCCTTGGTCGTCGATCAACCCAGCTTGAATGTCTCCGATCGAAGGAACTGCTCTTACTTCTCCTCGAGCTGCTACGCTTGGAGATGATTTGAGTAAACGTCGTGCTACGTTGTTTATATCATCTTTCGATATCGCATCTACAAACAATACGATTACAGAATTCCATTCTTCTATTATGCCCAGTAATTTATTTAATTGGTGTATCGCTTACCAATTGCTTGTATGAAGTACTCTGGCCGCTTCCTAGATCCAGTGGCTAAAACTTGTCTTCCGATATCTTCGAAAATAACAGGCCTGTGTTCCAAATTCATGAGTAACATAGACTGCAGTTGCTTCTTTGCTCTCTAAATTATTAAGGAATAATTATAATTAAATCATAGTAACAAGTATAAATATGAAAATATAGATAATTATAAATAAAATCGTACCGCTAATTCACCGTCCACTATATTACTGGTCATGGCAACCATCTCGTGCACGATTACTTCCACCATTTCTTTGACGTGAGACGGCGTACAAGATGCATGAATGCAAAAGATACCCGTGTCGGCGTATGCGTGATTGTACGCAGTTGCATTGTATAACCAATGATACCTGTAGAATGATTTCTTATTCTTGAATCCTTATAATCGAATTTTGCTTCTAGGGGAACGCACATTCTTCTCCTCACCTGTTTAGTACATTCGTATACAAACGAGTATACATTCCCTTTCCTGGACCACCGGCGCTGAAGCTACCACCGCCACCCATCATCATATTTAAAACACACATCGCTACAAAATCTGGGTCTTGATGGGAACAACCTTCTAAACCTATTACTACGTGGGATAATTCCGGTAAACCGCTTGGTCCTGCATATACAGGCACATTACATTCTTCCTACAAAATTACAAAGCTTAAAATTATTAAGTATCACCGCATTTAAATGCATTTTTTCGCAGATTTTATTGAAAAATAGCTAATTGGATAACTACTAGTATATAGCCTCCGGTATACTGTGCGATGGACGTGTCAACTGACGGTACCGAATTAGTATTTCCCCTCTCTTCTCCTTCTTCTTCCCAAATAGATTTTTTATCAATAAAATGTCTAGAACAATAGTAACGTCACCTTTGCTTGAATATTATTAAAACTGTAATTTGGATGTCTTTCGAACATCCATATTAGATGCAAGTAATAGTACTTCAATTTATATTAATAAATACTCAAAACATTTGTATTATTGTTACCTTTGTACAGCCGAAACGAGATCTTCGTGTTTTACGCCAACTCCGGCCACTACCATTCTACTCGGTGTGTAATGATTCCTTAAATATTCGAATAATACTTTTCTATCTATACGGTCGACGTTTTCCTCCGGGCAAATTTTTGGAAGACCAAGCGTATTGTTCCTGTATGCAGCCTATAAAATTAAATACATGTATCTGATGTTTACTTAACATTGTGTAAATTTACTTTTACTTACAGCATGAATCATATCCATAAGTATCGGTTCTTGCTCTGGTCTTGTAAGTAAAGATTCCAATTCGAAGCGAATCATTTGTCTTGCTGCGCTTACCTAGAAATGAGAACATAATATTATTGCTATTTCTTTAAATAACTATTTTCCATTTATAGATGTCTCATACATTTATGTATTATAGTTTTTCGTATTTATATCTTATAGTTTTTAAAATATGTTGCACTGTATATAATGTGTATATAAAATATATGAAGGACACATTTCTTACTTCCTCTTGTGTAATTTGAGGTCTTAAAACGATATCACCTAGAATTTGTACAACTGTGTCCAATCCATGACGTTCTGCCGATGCAGCATAAACAAATGCATCCCTCGATGCTTGGCAATCACATATTCCTCCATGTTTTTCTAATGCGAGCATTATTTGATCTTTGTTCTTGAATGTTTTTGTTGACTGCAAAAGTAAATAGCTAATTTTTTTATTCCTCGAATAGTAATTGTGTAATGTACAATAAAAGTCTTACTCCGAATGCTAATTTCTCTAGAAAATGAGAAATACCGCTTGGATATGCAATCTCGTACCGAGGTCCAGAATCGAGTAACACTGTAATAAACAACGATAATTTACTACACAAATAATTGTACGATCGTTTAAAGTCTGTTTAAAAATTCTCTGTATTTACCGCCAACTGTGCAAAATTGACCAAATCGATTTTCAGAAGCAACTCTCAGTCCATTTGGGAGAACTGTGACTTTAGTCGTGTGATGTTCATCTTTTGCGGTAGCATAGACTGCTTTTGGTAAGTTGGGAATAGGCTGGGTCAATGAAGGAAACGGTGTAACAATTGAATTTCGCGTAATATTATTATTAGGAATCTTTTGAGAAGAAAAGTTGCATCTTCTGAAGAACGTAAAAGTGTTTCTTTGCATCGTGCTGTAACAAACGTTATTTGTATCTATTGCGCCAATAACAACAACAATATAATCATAATACAAGTATATGCTTCCCAGAAGTTACTTAAAGGAATGCTTGTATATACTACAGAAAAATTGTTCCCTCTTAAAACAACTGTTACCTTTTTTTAGCAGCGATTATCAAGGAATTATGTGAAACTTTCATCAGCACTTGCATGTTAGCAATTCTAAATAATTTTCTAATATTTAAATTGACTATCCACCTCCTACGGTTTCAAAGTGAAAAGTGATTAATCGAAAAATAACCTTAACGAATAACTTTCCCTTGAATATAAACGAATATATAGATATCAAATACGAATGAAGGAGAATTGATATGGATCAGTGGTGCCATACAGTATCATATTTCTAGAATTTTTCAATCAGTAGTGGATCTAGAAAGGCCACCGCTCGGTGATGGTCGAAACCCTAGACTTCGAATAAATCTGAAGTTTGCCGATATGTTTGTCTCGTTTCCTTCTTTGGGAATTGTTCAAAGGAAGAAACGAGACAAACACATCGACAAACTTCGGATTTATTCGAAGCTTAGGGTTTTGACCATCTCTGCCGCTCAGACCCACAGTGCGCGGGTTTAGATTCTAAACTTTAGAACGGTGTACGGAGTTAGTAAAGATTAAGAGGTAGAGAATGAATGAATGAACAAGGCTCAGTGTATGTTAGAGACAAGAAAACATAAAGTACAATGTAGTAACAATATTATAGCTAAGTGTATATAACAATTTATAGACTAAGAAACCCTGTATAAATTTTGTACCACATTGTGGTGTAACATAGACCTCTAGTGTCTATAACACCTTAAATAAATAAATAAATAAATAAATAAATGAATAAAGTACCAGTGACGCTATCGGTGGCAAAATGCCCAAGTTTATATTGGATGTTGTTCCATTAATACATTAATTTGTCGTATCATTAATACGATTCATTGCTTTACAATACTACAATATATTAGATAGTACGTCAAATTTATCTTTTTTACGAATAGTTATTTCATATCATAAAGTAAACGACCCTTTAGTTAGTTGCGCCATCTTACAGCAACTGTCGGAACTATTTTCTTTATAAACTTGGACATTTTCCCACTGATGGCACCACTAGTACTTTATTTATTTATTTATTTATTTATTTATTTAAGGTATATAGAGCCTCACACCACTGGTACTAAATTCCACTCAAAGAGTATTAGTCTAATATTCTTTGATTCCACTGAACTATAGTTCTGTGATGTTTTATGAATTGGCTGGTCAACGACATCGGCACTTATTTGATTAAATTCTAGTGATTTTAGGTTTACCCTGTATGTGATTCGTGTTTTACATAAGTACTCTATCTCACATAATGTTTGAATCGTGACAAAATTACAGTCTTACTGACACATACCGATATTTACTGTGTTTACGTGTAGTGTGTCGTAGCGTCGTAGACAGTAAGATAGTAGATAGTACTACGCCTACCTGTATGACGTTGTCATTGAGTTCGTGTGGTTCATAGAGATACCGGACGCGATGTAATAATATTTTGATCGAAATCAACATGTGTCCTTGTGAGTTGTATCGTTTTCGTTGAGAATTGATTACAACTTGCTCGCGTAGTTAGATGCCGGTAAAACGACTGAATTCGTCATTATTTAGAATAATAGATTATTAATGTCCCTGTCAAACTATTAGCGTTTTCGTAGTTTATTATTATTTTTGTTTGAAAGAAACCTGCATTTAGCGCAGTATGTTGATAAATCAAGATGTACAGTGGAGTGGCGTCGCACCGTCGGAAATTCAAATGTTTCCAGATTTAGAACTTATCGGCGGTAAGACATATGCTCTTCAAATAAAATATACGTACATATATCTTTTGTCTACCTATTATTCTGTACTTCTTCCTTTCCGCAATTCAATTTTACGAATAATGGTTGTAGTTACAAAATGCATTTCTCTACAGATGGCGATTGTTTGCCTCTTTCGGATGACTTATTTCAGACGTTAAGTTCCGAATTAGGTATGCCGCTTCTTTTAGATTCCGAGGTGCTTTCGGAAACAGACAACGATTTTAAAAATCAAATTACGAAAGATGTTTCTTTGGGAGAAACTGCGACTAATTTCGAGGATTTTACCATAGATGTATTGCAACAAAATTCAGGTAGACGTTTAACGTATCATTTCGTTTAGTTAAGTTTCCATTTTGTTAGGAATTTATGAATATTTGAATGTTATATTATTTGTAGATACAAATTTAGATCTAACCAATGATGTAAACATGGAAATTAAATTGGAGCCTGCGAGCCCTTACGTACATCTACCCTTATCTCCGGCATTGAGTCATTCAGAATCTAGTACATCGGAATCACAAATGGAAATAGACTCTGTTACTCCTGGAAATGATTTTAAGGTAGGGTTGACTTGTCTAAATATAATTGCATACGCTATATTTAACATCTAATGCATTGTTTTATTGCAGTCAACTTTAGAAACACCACCAATTTCACCTCCACAAAATATTTCCCCGTCCGTATCTCCTGAACCGACATTGAATACAAGCATTGCAAAACAAATAAGGCTTATGCCTTTTAAATCTCAGGTTGAAAAGCATACAAAGTTTATTCTGTCTAAAGAAAATTTGGCTAAACATGTTCGAGTTCAACCAAAGGATAATATACAGTTCACAACTGATGGTAAAGCACTAATTTGTTTTAATTAATGTTTACGTTTATTCCCATGTTATACATTATGTATTTATATGTTTTTTTACTTCTCAGAACAGCCTCGGAAAACTATATTTTTGAGCACGCAAAATTTTGTCGCGCTTACCCAAAAAGTTAAGCAAAATTACACGTCCTATCATTTATTGCCGACCAATGGGAATATCGCAAACCAAGCATCTGTACAGTTTTCACCACTGCAGATAAAGGCAGAAGCTAGCATGGTCAAAATACCACAAGAGAATCATGTGAAAGTAACGGATAATGTGCCAGACGCGTGTATACCAGGAAGGGAACCGTCAGTTACCGTTGCCGATACACCCTTAATTCTTAAAAATGGAACAACTGGATGCGCCTCTATAGTTGTGAAAAATGACGCATCTGGTTGCAGGCCGATAGTTATCAAGACAGAGAACTCGAATTATACCCCGATCGTTATAAAAAATGAGGCACAAGATATAGTCAATTACGCTGGACGACAAGAATGCGAAATAAAAGCATTGAAAAGACAACAGAGGATGATTAAAAATAGAGAATCGGCTTGTCTTTCGCGAAAGAAGAAAAAGGAGTACGTGTCTTCGTTGGAGAAACAAATTAGCGAATTGCAACATGAAAATAAACAATTGAAAATGGTGAGAATTACGATAAAGTTAAATGAGTACATTGGTGCGATAAGTTAGTCGCTTTAGAATAAATGATTGTAATTAAATTGCGCTTGTATCAGGAAAATACGAACTTGAAACAGAAACTCGCGGCGTTAGAAGATACGATGGGTACTGGTATCAAACTCAGGGGTATGAATCTCAATGCGAATAAGAAAAATGTTGCTATTCTTTTGGGAATGGTTTTGATGGTTTCCCTAAATGTCAATAGTTTTAGGTAAGTTTTTCGCGTACATCTATGAATTTGGTATTCGAATAATTGAATAAATGTTCATTAAATTGATTTAACGAAATAAGGTTCAAAAGTAAAGCTTCTTTTGTTACACAGTGGTATACTTTTGCAAAGTAATCGGTTGAATATGTTGTCTGCCGATGTTCCTGTTAATACACATGTCAGACGTGGCAGAACGTTACTTTGGACACTTAAAGATCAAATTCCCGAAGAAGACGAAGAGAGTTTTCGTAAAAATACGTCGATTCCTCAGCCAATGTGTCCAATGCACATCAATCAAAGTGAATCGATTCGTTTAGATTACGAATTGAGACGATGGATCGGCGGTGAATCCGATCAATATAATTGGACTACACCTAAAAAGGCAAAGACAGATTCTAAGCTTCTAGGAGAATTTTTATCATCGCCGTACGCGATGCAAAGAAAAACTAAAGATAAACATAAACTAAAAATAAACTTATCCCGAAAAAACAAATCCGAAGTACATCGAAAAACAGCAGGCTCGACGATATCGAACGCGGTGGAAGTTTTTTCTCCAACACTGAAAGAACATGCTTCTCTATTTGAAGCGTTAGGCAGAAGGGACGACACGTTTTATGTCGTTTGGTTTAGCGGCGAGCATTTGCTTCTACCAGCTTCGAACAAAAACAGTACAGGTAGACCAAGAATGTCGTTGGTTCTTCCGGCGTTACCTATGAACGGTAAGAATAGAACATCTTATTTATACTCGTATTAACATATAACCAATAGAAAAGTTCACATAGTAGAATTAATGTAGTGGAACTTTTACAGAAACATTTTCAACGCCTGCAAATCATATAACTATGATGCAAATCGACTGTGAGGTTACCAATACGCAACTGTTGCATTTACAACAATCAGTCATACCTAATCATTTGAAAAGCAATAGGTCTGGAAGCCATATGCGCGAAACTCCTGTGGCCAGTGATGTATCGGACGCGGTAACTGCGAATACGATTAAGAATTACAAACCATATTTTATTAAAGAATCCGATCAGAAAATTTTCCACGAAAGGAACGTGAAGGATGTTCGCGTTGATAAAAATAGCAAAGATTATAATAAGACGACCGCTTATATATTGAAACAAAAATTTATTTCCGAATTTGATTTGGAGGAAGTCAAAACTGAAATGTTAAGAGAGTCGAGGAAAACAGAACCACGAGCAAGATCTATGACATCGCCAAAGACGGAAAAGTAGAGATATCTATTGCCCTTCACCGGTGTTTATCGTTCTCGTAAAATGTAATGCGTAACAGTATCGTTAACGTAACACGAGATATAATGCGCGCACGTCGACATACATACATATACGTATAGAAATAGCTGGTAGCATTTTTATTGTCATAAATGGCTCACAATGCACGATAGATAGATTCGCTGGTAGTAAAAGACTTGTATATTGTACAGGTGTGTTTGTATTAAGTGTAACGTTATATTTATAACGCGGGTAATTACATCTTGTTATCGGTAACATATGAACGCGTGTATACTTATTTTAAGCACAAAGGTTAAAGTTACGTGTAGTCCATATTGGAAAAAAGCACTTTAAGCACATACTGCTGGAGGAATTGTGTGGATACTTTGTGGATGATATTATATGTGGATTTTAGCTGGCACTGCCTTAGCAAAACGATTAAAAGTATTTGGTATGTAAGTGCAAACTTACAATATTTGAAAGCCGAATTTCTACGAGTACAACAATAATGTGACATATTCTCACGTATAACGTATTTGTACTGATTACAGAAATAAAAGGACTTGAAACAAATATGGGCTAAAATGAATTCTTATTTATTACAGTAAAAACGTGGTTGGTGGAAAACATGGTAAAAACATACTACAAAATTAGTAATAAACCATCATTTTGTTTTCCGGCAATCCACTCGTACGGCATTTCAAAGAAATACGTACAAACGTGTTTACTTTAAGTTTGGCGTAGAAGCACCAAGGTATGATTTTAAATCTATTATTGTGGATTGTATTAGTTTAGCTTTTATGAATGGTTTTCCGAGTCTTTGATGGGCTGTGTATCGGTGACAACCGCCGAAGGAATAATAATAATCTCCACCTGTAACGAGAAAAGTTATAAAATTATATAAACGAATACGAATACTGCTATTTACTTATACTTCTAGTATAAACAAAAGATTACTAAAAATTATTAAAAACGTATTACCTTCGCTACCTTTGATCCACAGGACATCGATTGGTGGTACAAGCGATTCCGTTTCGGGATTTTTTAATGTGTCCATTAAACTTTGAACCTTTTCCTCGTCTACGATCGGAGGAATAGGCCTGATAAGTACATTCATTGGAATGTCATAAACCTCGGCATTTACATCAGACTGAATGCTAGTGGGACTTTTATTTCTCATCTCAGAATCTGGATCTATAAAAAGAAAGAGAAAAAGAAAAAAAAAGTAGAAAGTCACTAATAAATCATGCTGTCTTGTTAAAGTGCAAGACAACATGACACTTTTTTGTGAGCTATATTTACATAAATTCTTTTGCAGTGACATCGAGTATGTTACGAATTGCCTTATTCTAAGCGAGATCATGGTTAATACAAATTCGCCATATCCTTAAACAAACACATACATTCTAAAAATGTACGCGATGATGTTTATTGTCACTCGACACGTGTTACTCCGATATTATTTCGGACGATTCTTTTAATATCAGCAAGCTATATTAAACGTATATAGAATCTAAATACTACGCACAATATAAATACTCGCGATGAGTCATTCAGAAACAGGCAGGACGAGTGAAGAGTGAATTGTCTTACCTTCGCAGTTCGTAGCATAGAGGCAAACTGTCAAGAGAGGGGATAAGGTATCAGAGTAAGCGGGGATAAAAATGATAACAGAAAAGTTAAGAAAGATAACAGAAAAGTTACGGGCTAGAAATAAATTCTATAAAATTGATCAGCATTTTGGGAATTCCTTTGCGGTACGATTAACCTTTGACTGCAAATGCTGTATATAAAAAATTGTATTTACTTGGACAACTTACAGCGTTTAGTTTGAAGAAAACAATGTTCAGTAAGAATCGGTAATTTTATTCTTGCTTTTATTGTACCGAGACCTACTTTCGCGGCTGCGGTGTAACACTGTGGTCGCTTTTCTGTTGAAGCGTGCTGTAGTTAAAGGTTAAGTAACGCAAGGTGTAAATGCAGTAGTAAATCAAGAAACGAATTGCCTACAAATAAAAATTGACAATCGAAAAGAAACTTTCAAGTACCTGTTCGAAATAGTATCATTCTTCGTGTACTGGTTGGTTAGCTAAGAATGAAATTACGCGTTTCGCTAAATCTTTGTATGCAATGGCTTGAACATTATTCGGAGCAGACAACACAATCGGTTTACCAACTTCGCAACTTTCAGCTATATTCTCGGACAGCGGTACCGTTTGTAAGATTTGCACACCTAAAAAGAAATGCCAGAAGCTACAAATCTACGTTAATGTGTATATATGTTTACAAATTTAATACCAAGTTCTTCAGCCATCATTTTTACTCCACCGTTGTAAAGAGCTATTTGGTTACTGCATTTAGGGCATGTAACGCTACTCATGTTTTCTACAATTCCAGCAATTGGAATATTCAGCTTTTTAAACATGCTTGCGCCTCTTCTAGTTACTTCCATGGCAGCCTTTTGAGGCGTAGTTACCAATAACACACCGGAAACTGGCAGATTCTGTATTATGGACAGATGCGTGTCTCCTGTTCCAGGTGGGGTATCTACGACAAGATAATCCAGAGGATCCCATGCTACTTGGCGTAACAATTTATCGATTGCGCTCATTACCATTAATCCCCTCCATATTACGGGAGATTTTTCATCGATTAAAAAGCCCATTGACATGCTATGTACAAAAACAAGTTAACAATCTTGATTTATAGCGTACGCAAACACGTAATTTGTGTGTCCTTACCATTTTACTCCGTAATTTACAAGTGGTTCCATGAGATTTGCTTTGTTAACTACAGGGGATTGTCTTATATTCATCATCAGAGGTACCGACGGACCAAATACATCTGCATCGAGTAAGCCGATAGACTTGTTTGGCTTGAGAATTTTCAAAGCAGTCGATAAATTTACAGCGGTGGTAGATTTACCGACACCTCCCTTTCCGGATGCAACAACAAAGATTTGCTTAACGCCTTTCAATGGTTTCTGCTTTGGAAGACCACGTGCCATAACTTCCTTTCGTTTGGTTTCCATGTCTGTTTGCTTCTGCTTGTCGAGAAGAATTGAATGACTCTGAAATAAACCAAACAGTGATACATTATATGTTTGCAAGGCCCAAAATAAAATGGAATCGGTGGGCCCATTTACTAGAAGCATTTAAGAATGTATGTACATAGCGCAACATAAACAAATTATCTAAACGTACTGCAAAAGTTTTAATTGAGCGATGTCAATATTTGTTTATAGTTACTAAGTTGTTATAATAAAGAGATGTATTCTTTGCCTATTATAAATGAATGACATGTTTTTAAAACGTTGCTTTTGGAAGTTACCATTTAACGGGGACTCTAGGTAGTTGCTTCTCTTGTTTATACCCAGTAACAATATCAACAATTGAAAAAAAGTATTTCATGCGATAACTGCATTTCACCGGAAGTGTCAACGTCCACGTGGAGTTGCATTACCGCTCACGTTGTCGTGCGTATTGTTAATTCCCACGTGTGTTTAAACAAGTTAAACACGCTGCAACGATTTATCAAACATGTTGGAAATTAGCGTAGATAACGTAAAAGGTGTACGTACTAATGACAACGATCGGTAATTATTCATTCCGTTATGATCACACCGAAAACGTGTAAAAATTTTCGTAAAAACGTATGTAAAGAGCATCTTCGGTAGCGGTGCACGTAGAACCACGTAGAACTGTAGAATAATGTGGAACTATGCAGAACTCGACGAAACTGGCATGAACTGGCATTGGCAATCAGCAACAAGCACTTGTAACAGTTCTAACCTGATATTTCGAATCGCGTAACCCTAATCGTCGGCCGTCGGCCTTTGGCGACGATCAGCGTCGATTTGTTTCACTCTACAACTCCGAAAGGCATGTTACAGGATTTTTTTGTAAATTATTCTCGCGATGTAATCTCCAGTTCGATATTTGATTTATGTGTAGTACATCGATAACGATAGTAACAGTACGTTTCCATCTGTTTCCATCAGTTTTATTTGCACCTATCGAGCTTTTCGATGTCTCTCACCGAAGAGCAAAGAGTTTAAGACTGAAAGCAAGTAACTTGAATGTTTAACGCGAGGCGAGGGCGGTGCAGTTTTTCATCGCTGCTAGCTGCGAAGCACATATCAGTAATGTGGTGCATTTTATGTTTTTTTTTCGATGTAAATATGTGAATGTAAGTTCCCTCTTTGTTTTCGAAACATACAGAATGAAATTTCCCGTCCGTACATGTTTCCATTCTCGAATCGGCTGTAAATTTGATTCTATCCGAGGTGCCTTCGTTACATGGATGTATCATCGTTGTGCTATAGTTAACCTAGATTTTCAATTGTAACACATATCGACTTTCGTGCTTTCCGTAAATCGTATTATTTTAAACGTTTGTCAAAGTTTTGTTTTATTGAAACGTCACGTCTATAAATGTTTCGGTCAATATATAGTTATTCGGCAAGTTCCCTTGCACGAGTCGGGGCTAGATTCATAATACGAAAAAAAAACACGCGTAATCGTTTTGATTCATCGACAGAATTCTGAATTTGATCGGTACACGATACACGGAGTGTTATTCGACATTTTACGCGTGTTAAATAATAAAACATCCATATGTCGTGAAAGAAATTAATTAAGAAAATTGGTAATTAAAATTCAGTGTATCGTGCTGTATCTAGACAATTTGACAAAATTATGATGTTTTTACGCGAGTGTTATTCATTCTCAAATATATGTAGTTTGCACGAAGCACACATGTTTATAGAAATGTATACCTTGTCGTTGGGATACTTTGCAAATCGGCGTATATAAAATATAATTTCTCTTATATATAGAATGGAGTAAAGTTTACTTTAACTTGTGCGTTTGTATAGACAAACCGTGTTGTATTAACAAGTCAAGGTGCACAGAATATGGGCCTAAACGCAGCTGTACAAGCTTTAAAGTAAGTAGAAGAAAAAATATAATTTCTAAACGCAACGTAATCTTATATATAGTGTTTCATAATAAGGATTAATACGGTTTTTACGTTTATTAGGAAAGCCGAGCCATTAAAGGATAAAGTTCAACGCTGTAAAGACCTTTTGAATGATAGCGATGCATGGGTATGTCAACAACAGCTACAGAAGATATATCAACAAGTTCTTATATTGGATCTGGAATATGCATTGGATAGAAAGGTCGAACAGGAACTTTGGAACCTTGGATTTAAGAATTACATAGCAACTTTGCAGTCGCAAGCTAAGGATAGGAAAAATCCAAAACGTGGAGAATCGCAGGCTTTGCTTAGTTGGTGCTTAGAGGCAGCAAGCGGATTCTATTTAACGTTGCTGCAGGAAATTTGTACCGCGTTCGATCTAGATTTACCGTTCAGGAGGTAATTAATGTAAATAGCATTAACGTAGGACTTATCGTGTTATGCGTATGCGTATACTTGGAATCCGTACTTCGGTAAAATATTTGTGAATTTTTATGCAAAGTTTGTATTTTTCAGGAAAGGCTACATTTACGGATGTACGTCACCGTGGAAAGCTGTTGAAAAATTATCAGTGCCTCATAAATCGTCGTGTTTTTACGCGTGCCAATATTGCCTTGTGCATTTAGGGGATATTGCTCGTTATAGAAACGAGAGTAAACAAGCAGAGCTGTTCTACAGGCACGCGGTATCGTTATCACCGTCCAGTGGACAACCGTACAATCAATTAGCCCTTCTCGAAGCATCGCGCGGCAACAAATTGGGAACCGTGTTTCATTATACACGATCCGTCGCCGTGAAACATCCTTTCCCTGTGGCTACAACAAACTTGGCGAAAACGTTATCTTCCGCCTTGAACGACACCTCATTAAATATCGAGGGGAAAACTAAATTAACTTCTCAGGAGTACATAGCAGTCTTTTTGAAGCTTCACGGTGTTATTCACAATCTCGGGGACTCGAAGGTTGCATTTACGTACGCAAAATTATTGACGGAGACATTGACAGCTTTGGTCGCGACGGAAAGTTTCAGCTCTTGGATGCTCGTACAAATGTTCGTAATTAATTTGTACGCCTTGGAACATACGACGAGTGTCGTCGTTGGTAGTACCGAATCGTTGAAAAATGAACAATTTACGTTCGATGAAAAAATAGCGCGAGATTGCATTTTGGATCTCATAGCGGGCAGTTTATCCGCTCTATTACTACCTGTCTATACCATAAAGAATTCTATCGTCGAGTACTTCGCTTTGCCTTCTATAAAACTGTGCCTTGATTGGATCCATACGAAGCCCACAGTTTTGGAGGAAGTAGCGTTTACGTCGAGACTTCAAATCTGGCCTAGCCTTTGCGTGTTGTTAAACGCTTTGCAGAATTGTGTGGTCGATTTCCCTTACGATCAGTACGTTAAAGTACCACTGCCAGAGGATCGTGATTTACAAGGTTTCTTACCATTAGAGAAGAGTTTCGAGTGTTTGAAATTTACAAGTACCGATCTAGAGGGTGATACCGAAGCTTACAATAAACTACGGGCTGTTCGTATTCTTCGTCTAGGTCATTGTTTAGCCCAATATAGAATCAATGGTTCGCCGTTAATCGCTGTTACGTTAGGAGAAGAAAAAGGCGATAACAGATTCAGCTCTATGAACGAAGGAAGCGGACCGAGCAACGAATTGATGAAGGAACTGGAAGAACTCAGTCTAAACAAAGAAAGACAGTCAACGGTATCGGCTAGTCCGGTGTTTTCGGAGTCTGCTAGCAGCAAAGGTTCTACGGACGTCGACATGTTGGAAAATACGTTGGATAAAAGAATAGGTATATTGAAGCCTCAAGGTTCGTTGGAGCGCAGCAAGGATTCTAATACGGAATGTAACAATTTTGAAAGCAGCAGCGCGCTACCTGTAACCAGAAAACCAAGGCAGAATATCGCGATGCAAGCTATTATGCGACGCGCCGAAACTGAACAAAAACAAGTTACATTTAAAAATGTGTCTCCGTTAATCGTGGAAGAAGAAAACGAGAAAAAGGCTAAGGCGAGCGTGACGTCGCCGGTAAAGAGTGTGCCTGCCGGAAATAAAAATATGTTGTCAGCTATCGGAGAAGCAGGATCGAAACCGAGCAATGTTCCTAACGCGTCCGCGAGTACATTGGTCACCGTTCAGAATCGGTTACCTTTAATGCCTTTCGCCCCGACTACCGTACAAAGTCAGATCGCTTCTACTCAAAACCAAACCAAAGCAGCCAAGTTACAGCACGTTGTCTCGCAACCATCGCAAATCAACCATCTCGCCGCAAAGGAACAGCAAACTTCTGCGATGTTAGCTCCGATATCGAGTATATCTCAATGCGTGGGAACCATTTGTTACCAAAGTCCAACGTTCAATGTACAAAATCCGCAGTTTACGAAAAATTATATGACTAACCACGTAGGAAATATGCCGAGCTATCCGATTCAGGGACATTTTAGCAATTCGGTGCAACAACCAATCTCGCAAAATCTAACTTTACAACACACGTCCAATCAAAACAGACCTTTGCATCAGAGAATGCAGATCCACGGTATGCCACAGAATTCTTTGTTGCATCAAAACGTTGGACTTTCTTCCTCGCCGTCTACCCAGCAGAATGTTTTGCCAAATGTCTCGCAGAATATTACCTCTCAGCATTCTCAGGCTGGAAATCTTGGTATGCAACAAGGTATGGGCATGCAACAACAATGTCACAACTTGGACATTCAACAGAATCACAACTTGACCGTGCAACCGCAAACTCTTGCAAAGACCAATCTTAGACCGAGCACGATACCCTTACATAATCAAGTTGGTAGTCTAACTAGTTCAGCGATCGCGAACGCGAACGCTTCTACTTTGTCGACGTTGAATACATATCAAAAGAAGCTTCATCAAGCCGCGTCTATGGTGGTCCCGAATATGCCGAATATGACGAACGTACCGGGTAATACGTTAAGCCCGACGACTACGTCAAGCTTCCAGTTTAATTTTAACCAAAATGACTTTAATCAAAACGCTTTCGGTCATATATCTCCGAAACAGTTACCGTCATCCGTGTACAACAAAAGCTCGGACATGTTGGAATTTTCGTTCGGCAATCAGGTGGGCGTATCGAAGAGTCCGTCGCAATCAGCGGATAATTATCCGCTTTTCCATAATTACGAGACTACGAATTTCAATTTGTGGAAAGACACGCGACAATCGCAGCTTTCGGTACCTTGCTGGGGCACGACCGCGGGAGATACGCAATTGCACGGTAAAGATACGTCCATCGTCGAGAACTATCACAATTGGGAGGACACCGGCAATCCTGGAAATATGATCTCGCAAGTTCCACTGAGAACTTCTAATTACCAATCGGATTCGCAACATACCAAACAACACTTTACGGCTGGAAACAATTACGACCATTCCGGATCTCTAGAAGTATGTATTACCGTCGTATTTCGCGACTCGATCTATCGAACTGTAAATACTATTGATACCGTTCTATATTTGTCCACAGGTAGACTTGAAATCGACTCAACCGATCAGTACGGGGAACACCTATTCATTGTTCAGCAGTAACAACACTTGGGGATCTAGTTCGCAAGCTTGTAACTTGTCCAGTCAAGATCAAGCAAAAATTCGACTGAGTCAGCAGTCTTTATGGTCCGGACCTGGTCCATCTCCTTTGGAACGACTTCTGGAACAGCAAAAATCGTTACGCGAAGGAGGTACCTGAAGGAAAGCAATATAGATTGTGTCGAAGTATATTGGAAAGGGATCTATCCAATTTGTGGATTCAGCTAACCAAGGGGATCTAGCAAAACATACCACAATAAATATCATCGATTGTTCGACGAAAATGTTAAATTTGTTACAAACCAACAGTTAGCGAGAGGTTTTGTAGCCGCTTAGAAATTCGTTTAAGTAAAACGAATTAATACATACGTCCAAAGCGTTATGAAATACGCTCTAGAAATACATAGGTATTACTTACTTACTTATGCTAATTATTACGCGCACGGTAGAAAATAAAGTTATTCTAATAGCGCGTGTTGGCACACGATCGAGTTTTTCAAAATAGCCCTTTTAATTAAATCTATTAAAGCGTGACTAATTGAAAATTTAGTTCGGATCACGTAGTAGAAGAAACGAAGATTCAATGATAAAATAAGTCCTCGCCAAGAAACAAGTAGTATAGAGAGACGCATATACAGATCATATCGCTAGAGCTAGTAGCGTGTGTAATCTGTAGTGTGTAAGTTTATATCGTGAAAGGTATACATATTCCGGTCGGTTGGTTTGGTACACATTTGATACTTTGATTCTATGAATAAAATCGCAAAGAGAGCACCTTTCTTTTCTTTTCATTTTCGATACAAACATATATGTTTGGAAACGTACACGTGCATTCTATTTTTACATGTGTTTGATACAATTGTAATCGTTAGTATACATTTTGTATCGTATTAATCATCTTTAACGCTGTTGCGTATGTCTGTTTTCAACCACTGGATTTAACAGCATTGTTGTCTTTTAGTTTATTTCGTAACAATTATGTACGACTTTGCTTATAAATCATGCAATACAAAAAAGAAACAACAACACATAAAATGTACGAAATAAATATGCGAAATATCCACGTTTTGCGTCTAAAAAAGGGAGAGGGGTAGAACAGTTTCGAAGAAGACCGATGCGTTAACAAACACTTGGATTTACATCGAACGAAGCGAATGAAGTAATAATGTTTAATATCGGAAAGCTGAGAAAGAATTCAATGTAACAAGTTCCTGTTCTCATGAACAGGACGTTTATCTTAAATGATTAAAATTAAAAATTGCGTTCAATCATTTGCAAATACACGATGTTAAAAGTTGAATCGAAAATTATCATTTTTATTACACACCAATTCTCTTTTACCTAATATGATAGCGTATTGTACATATATATATATATATATATATATAATTATCTAAACAAACGGGTAAGTAACTCTTTGGTATATATTTTATTGTTTCATGAATTTTAACATATTTTTTGTATTGGCAATTGTATTATATTTTTTTTTTTGATATCGCAAGAACAAGTACTTATTTACCTTTGGGATAAGTAATCATTGACAATGAGTGAGAACTTTTAGGAAGGTCACCGCTCACTAAGCCGCTCAGTGAGCGGGTTTTAGTACTAGTGGCGCCATCGGTGAGAAAACGTTCAAGTTTGTCATTTACAAGATTATTTACCGACATTATGGTAATGTACCGATAGACCGGTTAAAAAACTCTGATAAGCAATGTAAACATAAAATATTGTAAAACGGACCAAAGAAAATTTTGTACAAAATTATAAGACAAAGAAAAGTGGTAACAGTCCGTAAGGACTCTATCGCTATAATAGAGTTCAATCGATCAATCAATTAGTTCGGCCTGTTCACCGCTAGATGACAAATCAGGGTTAGACTTAGTAGCGCTATCTAGCAGTAAAAAGAGGAACTACTTTCTCTGCAAACTTCGACATTTTCCCACCGATGGCGCCATTATTACTAACACCACTGAACTATATGTTTAAATGCGTGTATATAGGACGCCCTGATTACAATTCTAACTTTCAATTAAAATTACGCTTGGATCCCTCACGTGATAGCGTATAACAGATATCATGGATAAAACAATGATAAAGGCACCTAGCAGTCATACTTTGAAATTAGAAATGTTTTCAACGATACTCAAATATTCATAGTAAGCTACCGGACACGATCAAATTTGAAAAAACAATCAGTTTTAAGAATCGGGTATATTTGAAGCAACATCGGTATTATATTCAAAAGAACTACGTCTCTTTTATTATACAAAAAGTCAATAATTTGTACAAAAGGGTGTTGTACTCTTACATTCTAAACTGTTCGCGATGAATCGAACACGCGTAAACGATCACCCTCTGAAACTGAATAAGCGAAAATAGATCTCGTAATTTTAATAGTAACATAAAAATCGATACGAGTTTCGGACATACTGTACGTACCTCGTCATCTATACCAATGATTAATTTACTTTTTTCCTTTAAAACTAATAGTTCGTTTCGTATGCAAAATCATAACGATTAGAAGCTACACAACAGCGCGCACACCCGCGAACACATACATACACGCATGCATACTTATTTCACAGTCCATACATTGCGTACGAAAAATATGTAAAACAAGTACATATTATGCACATCGTAAAAGAGAATCGTAAAGTGGCACGTCTCGTACGGTGACTACTCGTCTTAGGAAAGAAACGACAATATAGCCAAGTACGGTGAAATTCGAGCAAACGAATGTAGATATTAACAACTTTTACAAACTCGAATCGGTACAGTGTAATTGCTTTTTAATACCGACATAATGCATTCTTCTGTTAAATGATCCTCGCAGCGTATGCAAATACCATCACCGTTTGTACTTGTACTTTTTCAATTTCACGAACCACTTACAAAGTTCGCTCCAACCGAAACTTGGAGATTCTGGATTAACACTCGACGTAATAAGAAGGAAGAACGTTAAAGTATCACTAGGATAGATTGCATAAAATTAGCTAAATTGTTTCGGGATTACGATGATTGAGCTGCCAGCATTTCTTCTTGCTGTATTTTCCTACGGTAGTTGTCCAAAGTAACTTGTATAGTCTTCTCGGAGTATCGGCAGTTTTCGGCTCCACAGGTACACGTGAACGACTTGCATTTTATTATCCAGAATTTCTCTCCATAATCGAAGCTGAAGGCAAACAATTCCGATTGGTCTTCGGTGATAAATTGAATAATGTTATTGAAAAATCAATGTTCAATGTAACAACTGCTCTTCGTGACGACGATCGATCGCTCGAAAAGTAGACTTGTTTCGATTCTCATTAATATATTCGTCTTCGTTTAAAATAAATGCCAATTCCAAAATTTACCATGTTCGAAAGTAACGAGTAAAAGGAAAAATACGAAAACGATTTTATGTTCACCCCGATATGGAAAGCCGACTAGGATTTCAAGATAGAATAAGGCGAAGAAACTATAACCACCTGCGATAAGGATTAGCCCATCAAAACCAAGCATGAAATGGTTTATTAACTAAAAAAAACTTGGCATGACATGTTATTTGGTATGACACTAATGTGTGTACAAGCGTTATGATTTCCACGCATTAATTGTTTTTTTTTGTAACATACCCGAGCTCTTCGTCCGCTTCGATTTCGCGATTCGCGAAGAATGCTATCCTAGGAAAGTGCAAATCTTGATGTTCGACGAACACTCGCACTGGCAACAGATTAGGTGCGCAAGAATGGTTTATAAAACGAGCAATATTTCCATATCGTCTCGCGTCGATACAATAAGTTTCCCCATCCTACGTGAACATAATCAGACAGAGAATACATACATACATGCATACATACATACAAACATACATACATATTTTTTCACTTTGAAAATATCTTTAATTTATTTAACCTTAAACGTTCAAGGTAAATACGTATCTCGAAAGTACTCGATACTCACTCTGTTATCTAAATCAAAAAGGTATGAATCGTCTTCGCGATGATCAGCCTCGGAATCAGAAATTATCTCACCGACATATTCACACACATAGGAACCTTTAGAAATGTGCCGCAACGTTCGAAGGCCCCAACCTTTTCCTTGTGTACGAAATAATTGGAATCTTTGCGTCAAACCATGTTGAACAACTCGATTATTACACGTTATACGATTACAATCGCACGCTGGATTACACTCGAATAACATTGGGGGGTCTAAATGAAGAACATTTATACATGTTTATACATGTCCTCTGATCAATTTAGTCTTTAAGATGCACATACTTGTCTTACTCACCTGTATAATTAAATTCTGGAATCAGCTTTCCTTCTTCGTCGTACCAACACCTTAAACTAATATTTCCACACAAACACTTTTCCGAACTGCAATTGTCTTCGCACCGGCAAGACTGTAAAGACGTTATGGTGCGATCAACATTTATATTACTGGTAAAACAATTCTCGGTCACGTACAGAAAATCTGTAGGCTTATCTTCGGAATCATATCCATTAACGCACTGAATCGGATTTGTTTCTTTACCGCGCGAAATATCACTGGAAAAGTAGATGGTTAAGTACAGTTTACAAACATTGTTCAGTCAATGAATAAGATACATTAAACTTGATAGTCACTTAGTTAAAATTTTTACTGTTTTTTCCCACATATGCTCGGAAAGTTCGTTAACTTTGGCATTCAATCTCAAAGCAGACATAGTATCTCCATCGTTCGTACAACAATTTACTGCTGTTTCTCCTGCAGCGTTCACTTCGCCTATCTTTGCACCTCGTGCTAATAACAGAATGCTAACCGCATACTGATCTTGTCTTGCAGCTATGTGTCTGTCACACGTTAAATATACTAAAGTTAGGATTTCGACGTTTACGTAAAGATAATTTAAACATTGTCTTCTTACTTACAAAGGCGTGTCGCCATGGACGTTAACAGCATTCACATCGCAACCTTCGTTAAGAAGCATCTCTGTAATTTCGGAACTTCCACTAAAAGCACTCCAATGCAACGCTATATTCTGTTCCGCGTCACGAATTAAAGGATCGCACTTTTTATCTACCAAAAATCGCGCTACATCGGCATGACAAAATTCACACGCCCAAATTAAACTCGTCCATCCACCATCGTCCACCGAATCTAACAAATGATCATCGATTATTATTTTACATATATATATAATTAAATTAAGCAGTATGTAATTTCTAAAACGATCAAATATTCATTACCTACTAATGTTCTTGGTGCTTTACACTCTGTTAAAATTATTCGACAAACTTCCAAATGACCAGATTTGGCAGCCATGTGCAAAGCAGTCATCCCATCTTCTCCTTTCAACGTAACATCAGCACCTATTCTTATCAAATATTTTACTACATCAGCTTGACCCTTGCTAGCAGCTAGCATTAAAGGTGTTAACTGATTTCTATCCATTACGTCTAATTGAGCGCCAGCTTGTACCAATACATGTACACAAGACAGGTGTCCCTTATCTGCTGCTATATGAAGACCTGTTCGATGAGCATAATCTCGGAATGTATGGTTCGCATTGTAGCCACATGCTGAAACATCACAATAATTTGTTAACAAAATATAGTAAATTACAAAGTAAAGTGGAGTTGGCATTATACTATACCTAAAACATTAACCAACTTCTCTAAATCCCCATTTTTTACAGATGTGTAAAGACTCATGATAGTATAGCGTTCCGGTCTCTCAGAGTTAACAGACGGTTCAGGTATTTTAATAACATCGGGTTGAATCAATGGACTAGGAGGACGTTCTGCCAATTTAGTATTGTCACCTTTCCCTGGCAAACTTATTTTAGCAGAGGGCAATTTTGAAAATTTCTTGCGAGTAGGAATGAAGACAGGTTTTCGTAGCCCACTCATGGCGACCATCACATCGTATGCTGTACTTTCGCTTCCACAATGTGGACACACACCTTTCTTATTCGGATAAATTTCACATTCACGATGATACTGGTGACCATTAATACACTGTACAAATCTTCCTTGGGAACAAAACAATCCACAAGAAGGACAACAATTATGTCGGAGAAGTCTCTCCTTGTGCATCCGGCATAAGATTATAAAAGGAACACGTGTACTAGGTCTCCGCATCGCGACATCGTTGCTATCCACCTCGTTGCAGCATCCAACCAACTTATTATCGATTGAATCTATCGCGGTACAATATAATGGTGCTCCAGAGCCAGTTATCGTTACATATAGTTGAGACCGTACTTGACACAAACATAACATCGATTGACCGTAAGACTGGAAGATATAGCAAACATTACAAACAAGGAATATCAGAAAATTATTGAATAAATAATAAACATAAACTTCTTCGCTACTAACACTAACTTCGCTCATAATCGCGGTCGATTCTGGCTTCGAGGCTTGTCCTTCTGCAGGACTGGGACTCGGAGCCATACTTCTCCGTGTCCTTTTAGCAGGTACTGTGCCTTCTATAAAGTACATAAAAATCAAAATATTTCTTCGACTCAATAAATGTCTATCGAACAAAACATCGAGTACTACCTTCGGGATAATCATTGTTTTTGCCTGTTTCTGCTATTGACGCAGATCCATCTATAAAGAATACCTCTATGTATTATCGTTGATTGGTTAAAAATACGAATCCGTATATAGTTTAATTGAATTTCTACCTTCGAATAAATCTGCCTTTGCGATTTTTCTTGCACCTTGGCTTCCTCGAGGCCGTCCCCTTTCTCGCTTAGGTCTACCTGCAGTAGCTGGTTTTAAAAATGGCTTTTCGATATCTGCTAGAGGTACGTCGTCGCTTGTGGGGCTGCCAATTGAGTTACTCAGTTTTGTTTGCGATTCTGCGCTTTTTATCATAGGAGACAATTTTGGCATACCGTCAAAGTCGGATGAAAAATTTTGAGACTCGTCTGGGATTGTTTCGTTTGCGATATTCTCCGACATAGATGAATTTCTAGAACATTCTAACGTTGAGTTTACCTCGGACATATTGCCGTTTCCATCGGTAATGGAAACTTCTGTTTCCTGATGTATGTCAGGAGGCTTAGTTTGTAACTGCTTATTCTGATCTTTTCCTTGGATCGCCTTCTTAGGCCTCCCTGGTTTATTATATTTCCTTTGTTTTTTAAATTGTAAATTTTCTTCCGTGTAATTAGATTTTTCTTTTCTCGCCATTGCGCTCTCCAACACTGTACTCTTCAATGACTCTTTGCATAGTCTTCTCGCCGAACGCTTAGGACCTGGAGCTTCTTCTGTCTGGTCGCTAAAAATGTTATGGAATGTTTACAAATATTGGATAGAATATGTATTCGAGATGAAGGAAAATAAAAAACCTAAGTGCTCTTAATCTAGGTCGTCCTGTTCTTCTTTTCCTAGTAACGGGAGCCTCGATGACTGCTTGATCCACCTGTTCCGCAAGTTCTATAGATGTAACCGCTTCATCGGTCTTTATTTTTTCATCAGGAACTGTGTTTTCCTCGAGTGTTGCTAGCTCTGCATCGTCCTTTGGTGGTTTTGTGTCCACTGTATCGCTCTCTGGTTCTTTGCTTTCGGAATCTTTATTATGTTCTTCTGCTTTACCTTCCTCTGAATCTGATTTTTCTATAGTATCAGAATTCTCATCAGAGTTCTCTATCTTTACAGAAACACCACCGATTTGATCACAGTTTACCAATTCGTCGGGAACTAAAGTGAGGTTGGAAGAACAGCTCGATATCTTTGTTTTTTTACCATGATCGGTATTCTCATCGATTGTCCTGAACGTAAGGACTATACGTGGGATTCCATTGTTATCTTTTTTTGAAATTTCCTGTTTTCCAATATTTTCGTCTTCTTTATGATTTTCATCTATTCCTATTGGACTAGAGGTGACATTTTCTTTTATAGGAACAACCTCTTCGTTGTTGTCGCCGACGGGTTCCGATTCGATTGCTAGAACTTGGTCAGGACTCGCCACCGGTTTTTCGACCTCCTCGTGATCCGACATCTCCGATTGATTAATTTCTGCGTTTTTTACGGGACTCACGCTTTTGTTAAATTCATTCGTCATACCTTCGAGGATCTGTTGGATACTGACCTTATCTTCGACCCTCTCGGCAACCATCATACCTTCCTCTTCGCCCCCTTCTTGACAACCCTCCATCGTGGCAGCTTCCTTGTTTTTAATCTCCGACATAATAATACTAAAATTTCTCACTGGAAACTAGGAATCTTTACACTTAAATAACGACTTCATCCCAAATTTTAGACAGTCATTTAAATTAATCGCTTGACGCCGAACAGTTACCGAACTCCAGTCCAACCGCCAACGTTCAACGTCAACGATGTCTTCCGCCAAATACAAGTAGCCACGATGGTAGCGCAACACGCCTTCCGAGTTTCGTTCTGACTGAATACTATGACCGATAGTTGAACGAATATCGTCAATATATCTCTCCGTGCACTTTCCAACAGCTTCGCTAATTATATTATCACAGAAACCATTTTTTCCAAAGTTTTTCGAGAATATATCTACGCTACGCTGGCGTGCCCCGCACAGACCTGGAGGCCATATTGATTGCTCACTCGCTCAGGGACGGGCCGATTCGAGCGATGAATTTATTTTTAAAATGATCTTCGACCGAGCCCTTTTAGCATAAAATTATATATTCTTTCTCTTTATCTCTCTCTCAGATTCTTCAACTTACAGGATCTCTTTGGTACACTGTATAATTATGCGAGAAAGAAACATACCTCGTCTGTAAAATAATACACGATCGAAAGCCTAGTATACCTATACATTCAAAGTAAAAAAGATAATGAATTCTTCTGTAATTCATTACTGTCAACTAGAATGGAGGAACGCTATATTTCCGGCCAAATTGTTTTATTTTACAACACATTTAATTTTTTGCTATAGGTGCATAGTAGAATCTTATCGTACAATCGAAAGTCGGTAAAAAGAAAGAAAAAAGAAGTGAACTACAAATCGTCCAAGGTTTTTATAATTTTGTAATTCTATTTAAAATCACAAGTGTACTTGTAAATGTACGCGTGAGAGAGTAAAACTGACGTGATATGCAAAATTGTTTCGATACCGACTATAAAACAGTATTTGGGTTTATGTTGAACGAGCATAGAATTAATATTTCGAAGCCATTATTATTATCTCATAGCTTTGCTTGTATACGTCGAATAAATGGAATTACTGTTAATGTTGAAATTCACAACAATTACAACGATGTAATGTAAACGCGCGTAAGCGCTCGGAAAACAAAAATTGCTTAGGATTACTTGGCAAGAAATAATAAAAATACATTGTAACTATTAAGCAGTGGTGGTTAGAATACCGAGATTTGATGTACACATAGATGGGATAAATAAAGAAAAACCGAAGGAAACAGGAAACGAATCGTATAAATATAAGTTTATTTACATTGCAACAGATCCTTTTGTCAAATAAGCGACAAAGGTGATTACGGGTGTAGACTGAACAATGTTAATGAATAAATGTTAATTAAAAATAATAATTACAACGTTCTAGCCCAAACACGCCTCTTATTTAAATAATATACATTTGTTGAAAGTCGCAGAATCTAGGAGACGTGAATATTGTGCTTTCCTCTTAGAGACGTCGTTTGTAACTCTTACGATTTGGTTTTCATTCGATCGACTCGTGACTGCGATCGCAGTATACGTTTGGTATTGTTACAAACAATAATGAAACGTGAAAAATATCGCCATTGCTAAGTCGAGTTGCAGAGATACTGCAAGGCCGCTCGAGGAAGAGAAGAGAGCTTTTTCGCGAGTTGTTCGAAATATTCTCTCGTTTGTGTCCCTCGATTAAAACAGAAGCGTAAACGAAGTGTGATAGGAACGGTTTACGCGTTCAGTACGATGCCGCATCTCCTATTAACGATTTTCTTCATCTTTGCTTTGTTTGTGTGTATGTTTATTATTATTTTTTCCTTTTTCTTTTTTTTTTTTTTTAGAAAAACGTCGAACATACTACATTTATCTGTATCTTTACAAGCAATATAAAAAGTTGAGCATCGTATTGCATCGGTGATTGCATCCTATAATATATAAATACACGTCGACAAGAGAATTATTGACAAAGTAGTTCAACGCGTTACGTTACAGCCACGAAAGAAAGTCGCGTGAAAATTAATCCCAAAGACCGTCCTCTCGAATCTAGAAGCCTAACCTTTCGTTTCGTTTTTACGAAGAACTTTCTCCGTGCTCGGTAAATGTAAAATAATATCATACACGGTACGTATTCGAGTCTTTTTTTCGATTAAAATACGTACGTTATAGTTCACGGTGTCACCGAGTATTACAAACAACTATTTTTTGGTTTAGAATTGTTTTCAAGTACACTGTGCACAGACCACTCTATGTGCACGACCATCGTTGATTACAACACCATTCTACGTGGTACATATGATTAATTCAGTTACTTTTATCGCATATGGCACCAGCAAGGAATACGAGTTAATCGTAACGGTGGGTTATGGTGGCGGAGGTCTTCTCTGAGGTTCGGGGGTGTAACGTAGACGAGCTCGTACATGTTGAGGACTACCGGGCACGGAATTGCTTTCCGACAATCTCCTCGGTGGAGGTTGAGGCGGCGAGGACGAGACGTACCTTTGCGAATAAAATTAATAATAATAAATTTGATTTGTAACGAGCATCCTTCAAAGAAAAGAAATCAAAATGGCATTACCTTCGTGCAAAAGAAGGAGACGCTTGATCCACTAAATTCCTTCTAAGAACGAGAGGAGATTCACCACGACTCAGTCTTGGTGGTGGTTCCGGCGAGGGTGCACGTTCACTTCCGAGCCTAAGACGAACGTAGGAAGCGAAACGCTTCTTAGCGGATTCTTTTGATCCAGTCTGTGTTGGTGGCATAACAGGTGGAGGATCTTGCTTCATTTGATGTGCAAAACGGGATATTAATAATTCGGGGCTGGTAGAACCATGAGAACCTTGTGGGGGAGGTTCGGAAGGAAACCTGCATTAAAATCAGTGAAACAACATAAGTTAAGATTACCAGAAACTTATATAGACTGTTAATTAGATAGTAATGATGATGACAGTAATAGTACTAAAAAATTTTTATTGAAAATTTACCTTTTACGACTAATCATGGGACTACCATAAATATCTTGCGATTGCGGATGAGTTTGAGGCACAGGTGGGGTTTGTCCTAGTCGTTGTTGAAGAAACGGTGAATAACGACCACTTTCCGTTGGTTGCACTACATTTGGAGGATCGACGTTTTCTCGCCTCCAAGGTGAGTAGTCACGAGCGAACGGACTCAATGATCTAGAAACACCTTGCCATCGTTCTTTGCGGATGTCTCGATCTTCCGTAAAGCGGCCGTGGTACGGTGAATACAGTCTGTTCCCTGCATCTACATTAGCATCTTGTCGATAAGGAGAGAACGGTCTTCCTTCTTGTCTACCCTGTCCATTAATCGAACAGTGATTCGAAGAGTAGTCTCTGTTTTGATCGACGTGTTGTCTGTACGGTGAATAGGATCGTTGAAAATTCGTTTCCGATGCGTCCACATCGTTCGACGAAGGAGGAGAAAACGGCCTGGATATTTCCTTTCGTCTAAGAGCGTATGGACTGTAAGATACATAATTCGCACCATTCTCGCTATTTGATCGTTGATGAAACGGCAGAAAACTGGAATTCTGTGAGTCTTTGGTGACATTGCTTCTTAAAAAAGCTGGTACTTCGGATTGAGCTCTGAGATGAGCCGTTTGTTTTAGAGATACATGTCCGGTAACTCGCTGCTGCCACCCTGACAATCTGAAACTGAATTGTACACAGCGTTAATACTATAGTTTTTTATACCATCGATATCAGAAATAATGAACGTCCGGAAAGTATCATGATTCATTTGTGAATGCCACTGCCAGCCAAGACAACTGTGCCACGGTGTGTGTCTGCAAAAGAACTAAGTCTGCAGAGAGTTAATAGAAGTTAGAGCGTTAATCATATATCATGCAACACAGACAAGGATAGAGGAATATTTTTTTCTAAGGTAACAAATCATAGATGCTATCTGTGTTCGGAACTAAAGAAAAAAAAAGAAAAAATGTAAAATATTTCATGCCGAAAGACAACTAAAATGTCCAATCGATATTTTCTAATGATATTGTCTAGCTTAAAAGAAGGTTAAAAGCATAAATGTAATCGAAATATTTTTTTGATGAATGGAGTGTGCACAGGGAAAAATAATTTGTGCCATATGACTGGCAAGTCGCTACATAATAATATAAAGACAAATAAACAAATATTGAAATAAATAAAAACAATGCTTACCATGAGTGGGGGTTGAAAGGTGGGGTGTGTAACAGGCGCGTGCACAAACCAAACAACTCGAAATGAAAATCGGGCAGAGTTTTGGATAATTGTGAGGTTTATTTTTTTGTAAGTTTTTTGGAATTTTTGGATAAATTTTTAGGAGAAATGGAAGAGGGGGCAAGGGCAAGGGCAAGGGCAAGGGCAAGGGCGAGGGCGAGGGCGAGGGCGAGGGCGAGGGAGAGGGGGGATGCTATGCTGCGCTGCCTCCCTCAAGCTCAACGCTGCAACACAATTCAACACGCACGCAAACTTTTAATCGAAATGTACGGACAGGTTTGCAAAATGTCATTTGGCAATGAATAAAAGATAAATATGTAAAAACTGGCGTATCCAACGTAAACCCAACTTTGAAACTAGTGACAGCATCATTTCTCGAGCCGCTTTAATACCTACCCGTTAACCATCAATACTCAAGTGTGTTAACATTGTTTTAAACTAATATAAAAAAACAACATACCCGGTTATTCTCAAACCAAACCAAATCAGTATGATATTAGTTGGGAATTTCATGCTATGTTTAAAATTTTATTCGCTTCTATGTAACAATACTTTCTAACGGTATATGCGTCTACCATATTTTACGACGACATACATTTTTTTTCTTATTCAACGGTATCCTATGTAATGTCTGAAAACTACACTTTAGCACTTCTAATAAATATAGTTGATAACAGTGTACCTTGGTTCTAATTGTCGCATAACCCTGCCAAACCATTGACAGCCAGAATTTAGAACAGAGGAGTTTGTTTCGTCATCTTGAGGTACATCGTATTTTCGAATGAAAGAATGCTCCATGAGCTTGTGATATTTTGGACGATGTTTGTAATTTTTTGTAAGGCAGCAACACACAAAACTTCTAAACTCCTTTGAAAAGAGTGCATCCGATGGAAGGGATGGAGGGTCGTCTTGTACTACTCTGCTCAGTACCTATAAATTTCAATAACGGTAAAACAAGTCTGGGTTAACACGCGTAACGTTATCAATAACCGGTGAATTATTTACCTCAAAATCAGTCTTACAATCTCGATAAGGGAATACTCCGGTAGCTAATTCTACTAACGTAATACCCAAACTCCACACATCTGCTCGTATGTCGTAATCTGGCTTCGTTGGATCGGGAGGATCTATTCTTTCGGGCTATGGGAAATACGTTTAAAGATACGTTTTACAAAATGATTTAAACTTTTCACGGTGTATGGAACGATTATACTTACAGCCATGTAAGCAGCACATCCCGCACTTCTGGTTTTTGCTTTACTGTCGACTAATCTACCGGATATACCGAAATCGCATAACTTTACCCCTCCTTTTTCGTCGAGAAGAATATTACTAGGTTTTACGTCCCTATGAATTACACCGTGTTTTTCTTTGAGATATGACAATGCCTTTACAGTCTACAAAACGATAATTATTCGTGTAACGTAATTATTATTTTCGATACGATTAAAAATAAATAAATCTCTAACTTTTGCTCATACTTACAGCAACCGTAACTTTTCCTAAAAATTCTTCCGGCATTGCTTGTCTAGTTCTCTTCAGTAATTTGTCTAAACAAGTTGCCATTAATTCCATACAAATCCATACATCGGATTCTGTGATGAAACATCCCAAACATTGTACGATATATGGACAATCGTGTGATTTCAACACAACGTCGAGATCCATAATTATCCTCTTATTTTCTTCCGCGTTACCAGAACGTCGCATTTGTTTTACAGCGATGAGTACGCCGCTTGGTTTATGCCTCATTTTAACGACATGTCCACAGGTACCGTTTCCCAACTCACCCAGGTGTTCCAAATCTTTCATTTCAGTTTGATATCTCTGTCCGTTGATATTCAAAATACCATTCATCTTCATAATTTCCTGTAGTTTCGACTCAAATTCGCTATCTTGTTTCTTCGGAGGTATCTGTGAGACTTTTAAAGTCGGGATCGGAGCTGTATTAAGAAGATTAAGCATCATTCTTGTATCTAATTACACTTGCCTTGGTAAAATTTCGAAAGATTAAAAGGACATTCAACTTTCGTTAAAAAATGGTAAAAAGAAAACAACAACAACAACAACAGAAGTGGTAGTTTTGAAGATAAGAAGTAACTTAAAACTGCGTAAAAGATGGAAAAGGATATTTATTCCGCTCGACGAAAGCCAAAAAACAGTTTGTTCCTTCGATACGAAACAAGTACATTGTTTTTGTTTATACGATTCGTTTAAACGGATGCCCATTTATCTCGAATTCCGAGCTTTTGAGTAGAATTGAAAAATATCGTCGCGTAGAAGCTTTAATTTGCAAACAATTTGAATAAAATAAAGTACGAGGTAAAGAATGGAATGAAAAGTGTACGATATATAGAATTAACAGAATAAATTGTGATGGTCAACATAACCTGTACAACAAGGAAAGTGGCGGATCCGTTCGGAACATTCCGAGATAAAACGGGTAAAGAAAAAATTGAATTACTCTGACGAATGACGTGCGGTATTTAAAAAGAACTTACGTCGTGAGGCAGAAGTCGAGACAGTTCCCGTGGATGACGACTGAATGCCCGTTCCTGGTCCAACCTCGCCACTTTGTCTGTCCTTGTCTCTCGATTCATTTTCTGCTCTGAGACGCTCTTGCAAATTCAAAATCTTATTTTCCAGGGTACTGGACATCGCGATGGTCTTTTAGAACAGTATCAAGTTCACCGCGGGACACCACCTCGCACAAAATATTTGACAATTTTCACATCACTCTTCTGCCCCTTTTGGCAGCGAACATTGCGCCGCCGGTTATACGCATTTCAGTTTTCAGTAGAACCAACTCTCTTTCGGTTTCTCGGAAATCACTAGAACAGTATACGATAAGAAAATTTCTCCGATTCTTTCGATAAATAGTATCGCGAATTACTTGATTTTTTTGTTGTTTTTTTTATCCAAATCGAAATCCACGGAACATATATTCTAAAGTTACTATAGGTCAACTTTAAACAAACTTCATGTACGCGCAGATCATTTATTTCGAAATCATTCTGCGAATAATTTTTATTTCTGTTATTTAAACATGAAGTAAATATTTATGATACAAAATACAGTTCTGGTCAGAACTTAATACATATGTATATAAATATTTCTTCGTAGACTCGAATAATGTTTCTAATCGTTTGAATTGCACGTGTCAGACACGAAAAATGAAAGAACTTGAAACAATGATATTTTACCAATAAAACTCGTGTTAGAAGCGATCGATACTTTTCAGCTTTTTCATAGACATAACATTTGCAATTCAAATAGAAATCGTAAGTTGCGAATATATTACAATTTGACAATATCTTAGCCCTATCAGACGCAATATTTGTTTAAACTTTGAATACCTTCGGACACAAGTGAAATGATCTTTTGCATTTAAAGTACTGATAATCGCATTTTTAAACGAATAATCGGAACTCGATAATTGTTTAGGGTAAAAAGCACTTAATCTACCTAACGAATAGTTGTGTCCGAAGGGATCGTTTTTACAGGCCGCTGGAGAATACAAAGGCAAAATGATTATTGTAGAACAGCAGCATTTGCGGCTATACTCGGATTGTTAATAACTTCTCCTAGACTTTCCAACAGTTCTTTCCTGTAATCGTCGAAGTCTCCATCAATTTCATTAATCTGTTGATTTTCGATAACGTATAAACAACATTCCGTGTCTCTGATTAGACGTTCGTCGTGAGAAACAATAATAACTCCTCCTTTATATTCGTTAATAGCATCGGCCAGAGCATCGATAGATTCTATATCCAAATTGTTGGTCGGTTCGTCTAAAATTACAACGTCGGGTGCATTCAAACATAATTCTGCTAAAGCGACTCGCGCTTTTTGACCTCCCGATAAATCTTTCATTTTAATTGTATGAGCGTGGGAGCTGAGTCCAAATGTTCCTAATTGTTTCCTAGCTTTCTCATACGGAAGATCGAACAAACGCATTAAATATTCCGACGGCGTTTCTTCAGCGGTTAGATGTTCGCCAGAGTGCTGGTCGAACTTACCTATCCTCTGAAAACGATAAGAGCAATTTAATAGATGGATTCTTTTTCGAAAAGTAAGATGATGTCTTATTATGGTAAATCCCTTACCAGTCGATGATTCTTTATTAATTCTCCTTTCACTGGTTGCAAATCACCGGTTAATAATTTTAAAAATGTGGATTTACCGACACCGTTAGGTCCTACTATAGCTATTCTAGAACTTAAATCTATTCCAAAATCAACGTTGATAAATAATGGCTTTTGTCCTTGGTACGAAAAGTTGACATCTGAAATAAAATATGAATTTTCAAAAGCGATATATGCATAAATAAGAAAGCGAAGGATAGAACGATCTACAACGTACTGTAAAGACCAAGAATGGGTGGTTGCAAGGGAGGTGGATCGGGGAAACTAAATTTCACTATATATTCTCTAGGTTTCTGTAACAATTCCGTAGGCGTCGTGTCGTCGTCTTGTTTTTGCATTTTTGTTCGATTTTTTTCTTGCTTCCTCGTTAAAGCTTCTTTCTGTTTCTTTTCAGCTTGTTTTTTACTTTGACCAGAGGCTTTGAGGTCCTTGAGTCGCTTTTCTTGTTTCTCGTACGCTTTTATCATTTCTTTTCGCTTTTGTTCGTACATCTTTTTGAACATACTGTAGTTTCCTTTGTAATAAAATAGTTTCTGCTGATCCAAATGAATTATGTCTGTGCACACGTTATCCAAAAAACTTTGGTCATGAGAAACAATTAATAACGTCTTTTTCCATGCTTGTAGATAATTGTCCAACCAAATGACAGCATTCAAATCTAAATGATTCGTTGGTTCGTCGAGCAATAGTAAAGTAGGTTCTAAGAAGAGAGCTCTTGCAAGAGAAACACGCATACGCCAACCACCGGAAAAATTCTTTGTCGCGCGATCTTGCATGGCACGACTAAATCCTAAACCAGCAAGAATTCTCCTAGCCCGCGGTTCCGCGGAATCTGCTCCGATTATTTTCAGTTCTTCGTAAACCTGTAGGATAAGCGTTATGAAAAGAAAATTATTAAAGCATACATCTATCTATCTATTTGAACGAAACAGGAGAGAAAATACTAGAACCTCTTGCAATCTACTTTGAATAGAAGTATCTCCTTGTTCCACTAATTCTTCCAAGCGTTTGCATTCTGTCATTAATTCTTTACATTTGACGTCTGCATCGAGTACTACTTGTACAGCTGGAGTATCATCTGCGATAACTTCTTGCTCACAGTACAAAACATCGATGCTGGATGGAATAGCAAACGCTCTTTTGGCAATGTGACGCAATAAAGTGGTCTTGCCGTGTCTGAAAAGAAAATAAGATAAGAAGGCATAGAAATGATACTTTGTCCATCGATAGGTAGAAAGGTCCATACCCGTTTGGCCCTACCAAACCGTAACGTCTGCCTTGTGCGATCAGTAAACTAGCATTAGTGAACAACTCCTTTCCTTTGGCAGCGATACTAAAGTTTTCCACTTTGATATCAACAGCATGTTCTAATTGTTGGTTGGTGCGTTGCTGGGTTTGAGACTGAGACACGGTAAAGTTGGATTCCAGTTCGCTATGACCCTGACCACCGGTCTTGGTCAACATTTCCATTGTTTTCTCATATTCCTGCTGTTTTTTTAATTTCTTCTTTTCTTTGTGTGTCAACTTTTTCCCAGTTTCCTCCGTGTCCATTTCGGATATCTTTTTCGTAACATCCGACAGTTTTTTATCGGATGACATAGTGAAAGGTGTGATCCTGATAGATGGTCTCCCAACCTCACTTTTCCACACTTGATCTCGAGTTCTCGGCAATGCCTGATAGCTAAAGGCAAAAATGCAAACACGTGGCGCCATCAAACCTTTAGCCTGCTTTACCATTAGCCACTGTAGACCTGCATTACCTACGTCGAACATCGGAGTAGCTCTGCTTTACCCACGTCGAATATTGGAGTAACTCTGCATTACCTACGTCAAACTTCCGAGTTGCTCTGCTTTACCTGCGCCGAACTTCAAAGTACTTCTGCTTGATGATGTATGAAATCTGCAACAAAGTTACATGAATTAATAATATGTTTCAAAATGTACAATACTTAGAATTTGAATCCATTAGAATTGAAGATAAATTTTTAGTTTATATAATTTTTTAGTTAATTTGAGTTTCGCACCACGGTCTATACACATATACACAATATGCAAAAGCATATGCGCTGCAATCAGCCAAGCGACTGAAGAACATATGACTATCAGACTATGACGTTTTGTTTAGTTTTGTTATTTAATTTGGTTATGTTAAAACGTGCAAACAGTGCCACGAGTAACAAAGCGTATATTAAGATATCATCGTGTGTCCATTAACTTGATAATGCTACATACACAATACAAAATGTAGTAAAAGTGCATAAATTAAACAAAATTTCTCAGTTTATAATCAATTTAAGAAGAAGATTGTGTAAATTTCCAATAGCATATATTTCCTATCTGTCTAACAAAGGTATCTAAATGTTGAAAGAATGTTCAAGACTTTATCTATTATGTTTGTAATATATTTGTAGTGAATTATAAAAATGTCATAAATGTTCAAAATTTCTAGAAATTGTAGTAAAATATAGGTAAAGTGCACGAATTGAAAAAATTTATCAGATGTTAATAAGCATAAGAATAATTGTGTAAATTTACAATAGTATACATTTTATACCTGCCTAGTAATGGTATCTAAATATTGACAAAATCTTTAAGTTTTTATCTGTTACGGTTCTAACATATTTGTAACAAATTATAAAAATTTGTATCGTCATAAATGTTCAAAGTTTCTAGAAAGTATAATAAAAGAGCATGAATTTACAAAATTTATTAGTTTATAATAAATTTAGCAAAGAATTATATAAACTAACAAAAGTATATATTTTATATCTGTCTGACAGAGGTGTCCAAATGTTGAGAGAATGAGAATGTTTAAGATTGTACCTTTTATGTTTCATAGTACACATTTGTAGAAATTAAATTTTATTTCAACCCTGTATGTAGTACCAAAAGCTTGGGATAGAATGATATTCCTTGCGATGACAGATAAACTGGAAGATGATACACCATCATTAAGTACTCTCATTCAAGTAAATAATAATACGCACAGTAATCAATTAGAAAGCTCTTATTTCAAGATTCTAATTAAATGCTTTTATTTAAATTGATAAAATGGAAACAATTTTTTGAAGGACAATATTGTATATTTTTATTTGGAATTTTTGTTAGGACATTAGCAACATTTTGTGCAGGATCAACATTGGTATTTTTCATCAAAGAATTGCAAAAGTGGCTTTAACACAGTTAGTGGTTTCTGTATTTGATAACGTTCCATTTTTGTGTAACAAAGAACATATACGAAACAACTGAAGTTCTTAGATGACTTCAACAATGTGCATTGATGTGCATTTTATAATCTTATATTTGAAAACATTGAACGTATGAGCTTCAAGTTCATTTTATGGAACCTTAGGTACAGAAAGCATTACAAAGTCTGAAAGTCTGAGATTTGGTGTGATAGGTATATAATAATGTGTATTATTTACAAAATAAATATCTTAGTTCTTGACATATGTTTATTTGTTATTTTTACTGATCATATTCTGCGACCTGATTTATCGACTCCATGTAAAAATGAATAGTTAAGAACCCTAACCCTGACAAACATATTTTACCGATGCTTTAATTTAATAATCTTGTCCGTACCGTTTACAATGAATAAATGTAATAACATTAGTAGTATTGTTCCAAAATTAGGATATTCATACTACATAAATTGGTCGATCACGTCATAACCTAAACCATTGAATCTTTAATCTAACGTAATTAATGTAATTCAGAATTAATATCCTGTGAGAAAAGTGATCTGTATTATAATAGATACATAATTTAGGTTAAGAAAGAGCTAATAAAGTTGTTCTAATAAGTGATGCATCGGTTTTGTGTGTAGCTACATGAAAGAATAAGTGATTGAAAATCGATTATAAACATTTATCGAAGTTAGTAAGGTTACTAAACGTAAACAAATTTCTCCCTTGCTGTTACACACATCAAAGAAAGAGAAGAATTTCGGGAATTTCGTACAGACAAGGGTAATAATAATATATATCTACATATATCATACATATCGATATTTTCACTTTCCAATTTCAATTTCCGTTCAAAAAGACCGCGCACGATATTGAAAAGTGACAACCAATCACGTTTAACGTATCTTTGGAACTTTTAAATACTGAAATTTCATTGGCCGAGTACCCAGAACCCAATGCGCAGAAGAACGACGCCGAGAACGAGGCGTCCTTCGTTCGGCGGCAATTGGAGAGAGCAGATGTGTCGTGTCGAACGGTGATCCGGCAATTAATAGGTAAGCATAATTCATTTCAATTAACATCTAATCGTTGCTATTTGTACCTTGCGTTATTGCTTATCATCCCTTTAATATACCATGTATACCATTGATTGTTAATTGAATCGGTTTTTTGAGAAAATTAGATCGATTTTGTACTTTCGTCATTTTCGTTCTCCATGAGGTACCAATTGATATTCGTTCGAATATCAATTCGTACTGGGGGAGTACGTCTTCCAGAGTAATATTGTCGTTTCTTTTTTCGTTTTTCTAATTAATTTGTTGCTTAGATACACTAAAAATATATATTTATCGTAACTTGGCTTCTAATTCGAATTCTTGAATGTTCCAGGATCTGCCACGAGTCTGCGTGATGTTCGCCAACCGCCATTTCACGTTCAAATGGCTACTTTACGTTGAACATTTCGAGCGAAATTTGTGGACATCAGAACGCCAGAAAAATTGTGCAGCTTACCGGGGAAAGCAGAATAATAGGTAATACTGTCTTTAATTAATGTCATCAATAGATTACATTGATTATCAATTATAAATTTACAGTTCTTGATTCATTCTTTGACAAATAATGATTTTAATCGTTTTGACCATCTTGATCATAAAGAAATAATATTTATGTATTAATTACAATTGCAATTCAAATAACGTAAATTCAAACTTTATTAGCTCATTATGAATATAGAATAAAATTGTACAAATTTGCAAAATTATACAATTTGTGTCTAACAAAAGAATTTAATTATTGAAAGAATGTTTAAGATTT